CCCCCAAAGGGATGTGTTTTGTTAAGATTTGGGCCCTCGGCTATGCTGAGTGATTTCCTGCGAATTGTGTGTGATCGCAATTGGGTGTTTTTGTCTGTAGTGCTATATAACCAACCTGCAGTTTGTGCATTTGTTGTAGGCAATCTCAAGAATCAGTAGATGTCACATAAGAATAAACTGTAGTATTTGTGAACCTGACTGCTTCTCTCGAATGCAGCTGGACCTACAGCATATGGGCTGTTTATGCATCTGGTGTCAGGCCTATAGTTACGGTCATAATTGGCACAGGTATTGAGAGATAAGTCCAGCCACCCTAGCCCCTCTGATCTCTGAGGACCAGCTAGAACACAAGGGGGTTAATCTCTTACCAAATTAATTCACTACCTTAAATGCAACAATAACTTAATATACTGATACAATGCATGCACCTTCACCTAAAAACAGGTCTTCTCAGGTAGTCTCCCTTCAGTTAGAGGTACTAATTTAGGGGTAGGTAATGATTTTTTTTTAACAGCGCTTAGTCCAGGGACACTAATTGAGAAAGCTGAATGAGACACTAAAAGGGAAACATAGCTCTAATTAATTATAATCGTGCAATTTGTCTTTGTCACATGCAATGTGTCTTTGAACTTGGCAAAATGGATGGACACTAATATTATTGATAATTTTTTAATATTGCACTGGTTGTTTGTCTAATACTGCGATGATACTAATAATTTGGAATGTGCTTCCTGGGACTCTGGATTTACTGTGGGGTAGGGGAAAACAGCAGCTTCTTGCTAGAAAAATCTCATTGTCTATCCTTTACTTTATTAAAATAGTTACATTTAAAGAAAACAGTCTTACTGGTCAGCCCTAGATATTTTGGAAACATGCAGCAAAATGCTAAATTTTGGGAATTCAAACAGTTCAGCAATTTCAGATATCAGACACACCAAGAAATGGATCTATTCTTAGCATTGTGGATCTTCCTGTGTTGACCTAGGTCTTGCCTCATGAGTTTGCACTTAATGTAATAAGGAGACAAAAGTTTGTTGTGATGGTAACCAGGATGGTTTGCACTATGGAATAATATATCACTGTTCACATATCTTTTCAGATGTTTTCAATGGAACTGTGACCTTTCTGCCTTTGGAGGAAAACAGTGAAGGAAAATACCAGATTAAAAAGTGCAATATTTATCAAATTCAACTTAAACACATAAAAGGGGAAGAATGGTAAGCGCTGGGAGCGAGAGAGGAAGCAATCCCTGAGTTCTTTTAAGGATCACACCATGTTTTATTATTGGTATCTAGGTGATTTGGTTTGTGTGATTTCCTGCTTGATTACTAAATGACAGTAGTGGTGTGATCATAGTGCATAGCGTTCAGTTAAAAGAAACATCTACAATACCCAAGCAAAATCTGTTTCAGCTCTGAATGTATACATTAACTGTACATGCGTGTGGTCTAGAAAAAGTAAGAATGTGTATTCTTGTAACGAGAACTAGCTATGCCTGTGAGAGATCAGGTTCTGTGGGTGTAACTAAGGTTGAGGGTCAAACTGGAATTCTTGTGAACCTACTGAGCTTCCTACATTGAAATGTAGACCATTGCAGCTTGATCCTGAGCATCTGAGGGCATAACTCTAATGAAATCTGCGTAGAGATGATGACATAATGAAATGTACCAACTGATATATTTTCCCGTGGTTTCTTGAATTCGATTAATTCAATTTTATTAGTTAGTGTCTTGCTAAATCAGGTTGTTCATCATATGTGAGTCCTCAGTCATTGTGTTAAATGCAGCATGGACTCTCATGTACAGTGTTTGAATTGGCAGATAATGAGCTGCTAATAAAAATTCAGGGAAGACTGTTTCATTATTCAGTAACTTCACTGTTTTATTTTCCTTTTGGTTTTGTGTATTATATTAATTTCCTTATTCTCCAGTCTATTTTTATACCTGTGTTTGATTTTCTGATTTTCTCCACTTAATCATTACTCTGTCTCTTTTTGAGGTAGCTGAAATAATGAGATACACTGTATTTATATGAAGTTTTTATTTTATTTTTAAAGGTCTGTGTCTATTCTAGTTCCATATCCAGAAGATTGGTTTTCAGATGGAATTGCATACCCCAAGCTAGCATGGCTTGGAAATGAACTTCTGTCCAAACTAGCTAAATGGTCTGTGGAGCAAAAGCCCAGTGAATTTAAAAGTACACTCTCACTCATTTCTGTAGCGAAATACAGCAAGGTTTATCAAGACCTTAAAAACAAATACAAAGATATGGTAAAGGTAAGTTTAGCAAAAAATGCAGTAATAATATGTTTTCCCATATATTTTTTTGTTGTTTGTTTGGTGAAACTGCTTCTTTTGCTAACTTCTTTTTTTAATAAAAGAAGCAATTTAATTGAAATACATGTTTTATGGTTTTGTGTTTTGGGGCTTTTTTCTGTGTATTTGGGGAAAAAAAAACCACAATGTAGTATTTGGAAGAGCAAGTAGTATACTGGAGAAGCAAGATTTGGAACCAAATTCACGTTAAATATCTGGAGGAGTTAGGTATTTTCCAGAATGTATGTCTTCTGACAGGAACTAAGCAGTAGGTCTGTGGATGTAAATACTAAGTCATCCACACTAGAAGGCCTAAGTAAAGCACGTCCTTCTCCAAAACCTTAAAGTCTGGAAACAGCACTGGTTAGCAAGTGGGTTAAATTTCCTCTTGCCCTTCTTAAATTTGAGTTCTGTATTGATCTGTGTTTGAGTTAGAGGAGCAATGTTGTAATATTGTTTTATTCTGGAGATCCTGAAAAATGACAGTGATCATCAAGCCTGCTACCCTGGACTTCAGGAGAGCAGACTTTGGCCTTTTCAGGGATCTGCTTGGCAGGGTAGGCCCTAGAGGGAAGAGGGGGCCCAAGAAAGCTGGTTAATATTCAAGGATCACCTTCTTTAAGCTCAGGAGTGATGCATCCTGAGAAAGAGGAAGTTAGGTAAGAACACCAGGAGGCCTGCATGGATGAACAACAAGCTCCTCGATAAGCTCAAAGACAAAAAGGAAGTCTACAGAGGGTGGAAGCAAGGGCAGGGAGCCTAGGAGGAGTACAGAGAAACTGTCCAGGGATCAGGTTAGGAAGGCCAAAGCCCTGGTAGAATTAAATCTGTCCAGAGACCGGAAGGATAATTAAAAAAGCTTTTACAGGTACGTTGGTGATAAAAAGAAGACAGGAAAATATGGGTCCTCTCCAGAAGGAAAAGGGAGAGATGGTCACCTGGGATATGGAGAAGGCACTGCATGACTTCTGCTTCAGTCTGCACTGGCAAGGGCTCCAGCCAGACAACCCAAGAAACAGAAGGCAAAGGTGGGGTCTGGGAGGATGAACAACTGCCCACTGTAGGAGAAGATCATGTTCGAGACCAGCTGAAGAACCTGAAGGTGCATAAGTCCACAGAACCCTATGGGACATATCCCCGAGTCCTGAGGGAAGTGGCAGATGAAGTGGCTAAGCCAGTATCCATCATATCTGAGAAGTGGCAGTCCAGTGAAGTTCCCACTGACTGGAAAAGGGGAAACATAACCCCCATTTTTAAAAAGGGGAAAAAAGGAAGACATGGGGAACTACACACCAGTGAGTGTCACCTCTGTGCCTGGCAAGATCATGGAGTGGATCCTCCTGGAAACTATGCTGGGCCATGTGGAAGATAAGAAGCTGATTAGTGACAGCCAACATGGCTTCACTAAGGGCAAATTGTCCCTGACAAGTTCATTGGCCTTCTACGATGGAATTACATCATTGGTAGATGTAAGGGAAGAGCAACTGACATCACCTACGTGGACTTGTGCAAAACATTTGATGCGGTCCTGCATGACATCCCTGTCTCTAAATTGGAGACGTGGGTTTGATGGATGGACCACTTGGTGAATAAGGAACTGGCTGGATGGTCACATGCAAAGAATTGCAGTCAGTGGCTCAATGTCCAAGTGGAGAGCAGTGACAAGTGGCGTTCCTCGGGGGTTGGTACTGGGACTGGTGCTGTTTGTTATCTTTGTCAGCGACATGGACAGTGGGGTTGAGTGCACCCTCAGCAAGTTCACAGATGTCACCAAGCTGTGTGGTGCAGTCAACAGGCTGGAGGGAAGGGATGTGCCATCCAGAGAGACCTGGACAGGCTTGAGAAGTGGGCCTGTGCAAACCTCATGAAGTTCAACAAGGCCAAGTACAAGGTCCTGCACATGGGTTGGGGCAATCCCAAGCACAAATACAGGCTGGGCAATGAGTGGATTGAGAGCAGCCCCAAGGAGAAGGACTTCGGGATATTAGTGGATTGAAAACTGACTGTGAGCCAGCAATGTGCACTCGCAGCCCAGAATGCCAATGGTATCCTGGGTTGCATCAAGAGGAGCATGGCCAGTAGGTTGAGGGAAAGGACTCTTGCCCTCTACTCCACTCATATGAGACCCCCACCTGCAGTGCTGTGTCCGGCTCTGGGCCCGCAACATCAGAAGGACATGGAGCTGCTCAAGCAGATCCAGAGGAGGGCTGTGAAGATGATTGGGGGACTGGAGCCCCTCCCTTATGAGGACAGGCTGAGAGAGTTGGGATTGTTCAGTCTGGAGAAGAGAAGGCTTTGGGGAGACCTTAGAGTGGCCTTCCAGTACTTAAAGGGGGCTACAGGAAAGGTGGGGAGGGACCCTTGATCGGGGGGCGTGGTGATAGAATGACAAGTAATGGTTTTAAACAGAAAGAGGGTAGATTTAGGTTAGATATAAGGAAGAAATTCTTTACTATGCGGGTGGTGAGACACTGGAACAGATTGCCCAGAGAGGTTGTGGATGGACCCTCCCTGGCAGTGTTCAAGGCCAGGTGGGATGAGTCTTTGAGCAACCTGATCTAGTGGAAGGTGTCTCTGCCCAGGGCAGGGGGGTTGGAACTAGATGGATCTATAAGGTCCCTTCCAACCCAAACCATTCCATGATTCTATGATCTTTAGTGCTGTGTGAAGTAATGACTATATCCTTATACACCAGACTCTAGCCACACGCGGAAAAATAATGATTAGATGGACAACCATTATATGAAGTAACGGCTCTATTCTTATGCACCAGACTTTAGCCACAAGCAAAAAAAATTGGTAAATGCTTTTGTAAAACATACTGTGAAAATGTTGATAGGATTTACTGTTGATATTTCTGTGATAATACATACATGAGAGAAAAATGGGACTTGCTGGTAAGGTAGTGGTTCAGTCTTTAGCTCTGCAGTAGACTTGTATTTTAATATTTGTTTCACTTATTTACAAGACAGGGATAATACTTCCACTTTGTCTTCCTACTTCAGATTTTGATTCATGATAATTTTATGCCTGTTACATCGTGAAAATAAATTTACAAATATGTTATCAATGTTGCACATATATAAGCATTTTCCTCTGAGGGAGTTAAGCAAAAGGATGCATGCTCTGTGACAGAACAGATGAAGCAGTTTGCTTGTTGTGACCTGTGCATATGGAGCTGTAATGCTCTTGGAAACTTTATTGACTGGATGACAGCACACATTCTTTACGCCATGATTCTTATGTGTGACTCATAATATCAAACAGTCTTTATTTATATTCTCTATGTACATTTTTAATTAGGTTAAAATGCAAAATTCGTGATGTGCAGAAACCGGTTGGAAGTGGATGAGTATCCAGATTGCTCTGAACACTTTTTGAAGTAATTTCAGATGGTGCAGAAAATAATTTTTCTTTTTTTTTTTTTTTTTTTTTTAA